GTAACTATCTCCAGCAGCAAAATTGATCAGAAAATTTACAAGTGACAAGAGTACAAGATGAGCTCTGACCAGCCTCCCTAATGTATGTACTTAGAAGGCGTTTCACTGTTAACTCTGCTGTGTTGTTGTTGAAAGTCTTGGAGTACGATATTAAGTGAACAACATGAACTGGATTCCCCATTGGACCACCTGAGATCACAATAAGCATCACAAACATTACAGTTTGAATGTTACAGTTTCATTCCTGGTCTGTGCTGAGTTAGCTGATCTCAGCCCGCACAGCAGTTACAGGGCTGCAATTATCTTTGATGTCTGCAGGCGAGGGAGGAGACAAACATCAACCACATAATTCATGCACCTGATTGTTATCCACGACCCTGCAGGAAGATACATATCAGATGAGTGCACAGTCAGGCTCAGTTGTGGTACAGTAAACTCCTGATAACTTGACTTAACCTGTCACCACCACTTAAGTCATCTTGCTGGCCATAGCTTGGCCGTATTTATTTATGTATTTAAACGTATGCCTAACTCGCCACATAGCCTTTTCCTCTTGATGTGACGAGTTAGCAGGGGTTTACTGGGATTTCCATGGCAAAATAACTCAATGACACTCACTCATCGATGCAAGCTGTGTGCATTTGACAATGATTTGTCTTAGGGCGCAACAGGCTGCTCAGAGTAGATCTTGCAAGTTGTAACTGCATTAAGCTGCCTTGACCAGTCTTTCTGAATGCGAAAGGAATTACAAAGAACACCTGCTTAAAGTTTTACAACAAAACTAAACTCAAAACCATTCTAAATCCAGGCGTGTGAGAGTAATATAGGAGGAGGATCTTAAATTGTGGGCTGAATTTAATCAATGGGGCAAACAAAGTATAGTTCAGTTACGAGAACCTCTCCTTACTAAGGAAAAGTTATAATGTTTCTCTTGGTTCTATAGGTGTACAGAATAGCTACAATTGTATTTATCTTGTGGAAGTGTCACCAACAGAGCCCTGCTGTAAACTAAGACAAGCAAGATTTATGTCTCCTGTGAATTGTACCTCTGCATTGGTTGCTTTTTTCCTGTTTCTGCATTTTCCTCCAGCTAAATGCGTGGTGATGGTAGATGACAAGAATGAATAGTAGCTACACCAAAAAGTGTTCAAAGAAGCCAAAGTAAATGCATGACACCCCGCAATTCACTGACAACACTGAAGGTTTATCCTAACAGTCTTAAGAGATTCTGTAAATGTGAGAGAAGAATGATCCATGGAGCCTTCTGGAGCCACCCCAAAATAAATCTGTTTTAAAATGCCTTTCTAACAAAGATAAATAACAAATTCTTTATTGAACAGGATTAAGCAAAACAAGATCATTGCTCATTTATCATAGCTCATTGTTGAGAGTGAGTTTATTGATGAATCATTTGCAATTTAGTTATCAAGAAACAGTAAACCTTTGTGCATTTCTACTTTGCCCTGTGTTAGCAAATCTCACAGGTTACAGGTGCATTCCTTTGTGCAGTAAGCTTAACATTTTTACCTTTCCAGCTGGATACTGGAATGCACATGTATCTGCCTTTTAAGTCGAGCTATAAACTCAGTGTTCTGAAGTTTTCCACCCCCATGTTCAGATTTCCAGCATTCCCTTTTTTTTCTTGATAACCTCACAGATAAATTTCACATCAGGACGTAGCCAGAGGAAGAACAGTCTGTATCTGTTTCCATGCTGACACATTCTCCCCTCTCACTGCCTTGCGAGTGAATGGTTCTCAATGGAAGAATTTAGTGACACAGGCTATGTGCTAGGTTGCATGCACTTGTGAAAATAATAACTGAAATATTTTAGTGAGAGCCTCACTATAAAGGGGCCATATTTTAATTGGAGTTGTGAATGCAAATCCTTAGGTCAGACTGGCCATCGGGACCCAGTATAAATGACTTAATGCTGGATTATTTTGCTGCTTCTGAGTGTGCACAAGGCGTGACAAATAAAATCTGTGAAACTAGCTTTCTGTACCCTTTCCAGTACTAAAGGTACAAAGGTAAAATTCCACAGGGGTTTGCAGTTTTCTGATAAATGATTTATCAATGAACCTGCGGCAAGGAGATTACAGTAAACACATCACAATGATAGGGTTCACACCACAATTGCCACCAACACTATTGCCCAATCCCAAGACTAAAAAAATACACCAGAAACAAATAAAACTCTCTCTTGAGGTCAAACAGTTTGCAATTGTTGGGAAAAAAAATCACAGGGTATTTGTAAACTGCTCAAATGTCCCTCTCACAGGGAAGTTTCCTCCTCTCCAGAAGTTGTGGATACATTGTGGGGCAGCTACTGACCTTCTGGGCTGAGTTACTTGATATCAGACAGAGCAGCAGTTGGGGGCACTGCAATTGACCTTATCACAGCTAAACTAGGGAAAATAATCCAATGTTTCAACTGCTGGTCCTTATTCAGTGATTCTTGCTGGAATGTGTGTGTGGTTAAACAATAACTTACAAAAATAGTCATGTAAGTAAACAATAGTCATTTGAGAGTATACTGTCGACATATGTGTTAATAAAACAATGCCTTTGATAAACTGTTAGTTACCTAAACAATTTGTCGACATAAGTGTGCAAGAGTTTATGTCAACTTCGACATAGACAGTAACTTTTTAGTATTAATGTATGGAGAATGCACCTTTTTTGTCAATCTGTGTGCAATTGGCTGCTGCGTTTCGCCCATAAAATATAAAGTCAATTCATGTTATAGTACATTCTGTGAAGCAATTTGAGATGTCATGAAGACGTGATAAGGCGCTATATAAAATGCAAGGATTATTAATATAAGTGGGATGGCAATATAAGATGGTTCAGGATAAGTGAGTAAGACTGGATTTGTTTCATCTAAACATTGATCCATTCTTTTAAACCCCTGTTACCATTTGCTGTCAGCACCTTTTACTTACATGAACAGTTTTTGTAAATAAAATCCCTGTGTGCAGGTAATAAAAATGAAGTGAATTTGAAATGAAGCTCCCTCTCTTGTGCATCAAAAGGTTCACCTGTTGAGGAGGGCCTGATCTGCAACACAACTATTTTTAAGTGAACACATTGATTGTGTAGAGGAAGAACTGTAAACCACAATAATTATGCATGATTTGGTTTCTTTCTGCAGAGGGCAAAAAATAACAGTCATAAGCTAAACAGTCATAAGCTAAAAATTTAATTTATGGTGAGATTTTATAGAGAAATTGCTGTGTGCAACTTCAAACATGAAGAACCCTTTCCCCCCAAATGCCAAGCATATAAGTGGGGGAACGAATTCTGAAAAATGCTGACATTATGTTGGAAACAATGGAAAGTAAAGAGACTGAGGTAACCAGGTCAGCAACTGCAGTGCATTAAACAAAGAGAAAGCATAAACCCTGGAGGCCCCCATATTCGTGTGTGCATGAGACAGTTTGTCCTCTAATGCCTTACAAATATTTTCAAGTTTCTGTTTCCTAATCCCATGAAAAATTGCTCTGTATTAGAAGAGGTAGGGTTACACATACCAAAAGAGGTGGGATTAATCATGGAATTGCATTACTTTCTTTGTAAAACAAAATCTCACCAGTTGTTTGTTATTTACGATAATAATACTAATCCATGCATTTGATACAATGCTGTATTGTGTCATGGAGGCATTTCAAAGTGCTTCACAGGATATATGGTGAAGTACAGTGATTCTGTATATCACAGGCAAAGGTGGAAGTCAATTTGCACACAGCAATGTTCTACAAACAGTCACAAAGTGAATGGTTGGTTTTAGCTAGGTTATACAGTTACAAAAGTTGGGAGGATTTCAAATAAACTCTCTGAAGTGTCTCTAAAGAGTAACCAAACCTATTCCCAGCTCATTCAAAGTGACTCCCTCTCACACAGTCACATGAATTGGTTGGGGACATTTAACTGGGCGTGTTTCTTTGAATAAAAACTCTCGCTCAGGTATCAAATATCATGTTAACCCCCCTCCCCCCTTTCTCCCAAAGTCATTCCGTTGATCTTGTACCATCAAGGTCAGACCTTTGGAAACAGCGAAGCTTGTTTTTCCTCAAACTGACTGGGGGCACCTCAGAGGAGCTCATGTCTTGGTGCTGTTTATAATCAAAGGAAGGGAGGAGGAGGTTGGTAGTAAACCACAATGATTGTACATGATTTGGTTTATTCTGCTTGCCCGAAAGTATCCGTATCCTTGTTTTAGATGCATTTAATATTAAGCACAAGAAGTTGATCTGCAGACGTAGGTTTTGTATTTTTGTTTCCATTTTGGTAAAAACAAATTTGGAGTTACATTCGGTACCAAAACAAAAACAAATTACTCTTGGCGCTGGGGCCGGCCGGCCAGCCGGCCAGCCTCCACTGGCCTATTTTTCTGTTTCTTTCACATTTCTGCTCCCTGTGCTCGGTTACAATTTTTCTTTGCAATTCATTCGCTGGTGAAAGTTACACAACTCCTCGTCTCCTCCCTCCCGCTCTCTCTCTCCCCCTCCCTCTCCCTCCCCTCTCTCCCCCCTCCCTCACTAGCACCAATCCCCCACCCCCCCACCCCCACACACACACTCTCTCTCTCTGTGTGTGTGTGTGTGCCAGTCAGCTGTCAATCACCCGCCGGGGGGGGGGGGGGGCTGGACTGACTGAGTGACTGACTGACAGCCAGCTCGGCGCTCCCATTGGTCCCAGCGGGCGGTTGGGGGGCGGGGCCTGTGCTGTGCAAAGTCTACTTAAAGCTGAGCCGCCGCCTGTCTGGTCGCTTTTCATCCGGTTCCGGCGGAGGGAAGAGTCGGAGAGGGTTCCGGGTGGAAGAAACAGCAGCAGCAGCAGCAGCAACAGCGGCGGAGGGCCACCACGCGGGAAAAAAAAACTCACACACCATCACCGCTCCTCCTCCCCCCCCCCCCCGGCACCCCACCCCTCAGTCACGTGTCCGGCGAAGTTTTCAGATCATTTCTTCTTTTTTTTAAAAAAAAAATTTTTTTTTTTTTTAATTTAAATTATTATTTTTTTTTTGGTTTTATTTATAAATCTTGAACCCACGACCCCCGGGAGGAAAGATGGGCAGAGGAGTAAGTAAAAAAAAAAAAAGGGTGTGGGGGGGGGGGGGGGGTGGTGTGGGGGGAGCTCCGGGGATTGCATGTACTGCTTTGCTGACTTCGTGCACTCGCTCTGCGTGGAACTTGATGGGAAACTTTGTGCTGAAAGCCACGTGGCCTGACTGATGTGCATCGATGAATAAATACGTAAAAGTATGTATACATACATATATATCAATCAATCAATCAATCAATAAGCACACAAACCTCTTCCAAGTTATCGCAGATGGTCGGAAACTTGGGCAAGTGAGGTGTCAGTGTCACGTTCGCCCACAAGTATACAGTCAATTCACTTTACAGTCTATTCTGTGAAGCGCTTTGAGACGTCGCGAAGACGTGAAAAGCGCTATATCAAATGCAAGGATTTTTATTCACCATCCAGGGTTGGAAACTTTCCAGCGCAGCTCCCTGGCGAGCCAGGAGACCCTGCACTGCTGGAACTGCTCCTCGGGCAGTTTTTCACTTGCATTTGAAAACCAGGATAGAGAAGTGATTCGTTAACCCGTGCATTAAGTCAATCCGGGGAGCAGTTTATACCAAAAACACCAGAGTCAGTGGATCTTAACTGAAGTGGTCCTTTTTTTAATATATATGTATACAGGTGGACGTGTACCTTTGTGTTTATATATGGATCTACAGTTAGTTGTACAGTTTTCTGCTGGATGCCCTTGTTTTTTGCTACCAAAGCTGTGAAACGGGTTGAAGTAGGGTATGGAGGTTTTTTTTTCCAATTGGCTGCCCTGGTCTTTGAAGCATGGATTGTCATTGTAGATGTGTATTGTTAAATGTTATGCATCTGTGTTTTAGCGCAAGCTGGGAGTGCCCTCTACAACATGTACTTTGCACTGCTGATGGAAATTTTCATAAGTATCACCCACAAAAATAAGGCCTTCCAGGAGCATAACCACTGATCTGTCAATGCTTTCTATCCACACACATCTGCAAAATTAAATACATCTATTTTTTTTAAAAAAACAGAGAAGTTGGACAAATCAGGCATTTACACTCTGTTAAAGTGAAGTGTATTTCCTGGTAGATTGATGGATCAACTCTTTGCGTTATCCTCGGGCTGTAATCAATGAAAACCTGAATCCAAGTTGCTGCCTTAACAGGCAGTGACTGGAAAGGCAGTTTAAATTGGTTGGAATTTTTTTTGCACTATGTTTATCAATGTAGAGGTGAATACAGCGTGTAATACCTTGTATAACAAGGGAATTAGTGTTTGACTGGTGAAGCGTAGGAGTGAATATTCAATGCCCTTGTAAGATGCAACCTCATGGGGATTATGTGAGTCTTGGCAATTTGTCTTCTCTGTGTACTGTATTTCACTAAAGGCACATTGTCTGGTGAGTTGTTAAGGCTTTGCCCGGTTTGTAAATTGGGTCAGTACATTCTTTGATCAGCGACATGACTGCTTTCCTCACGAACATAATTGTGCCTTTGCTACAAAGTTGTAACTTTTATTTCCAACCTAAAGTTTATGGTACTGTATTGTATCAAATACTGTACAGTAATTGGTACAGGATTGTGAGCTGTCAGACTACATGGATTCTGAGAGATTGCTACTCAATCTGGTTACTTTCTCCGAAAACGAGAAGATGCACTTTAATGTATCTTTGCATCTTGTGGACATTCTATACTGACAATCTGCTACAATTGCAGCAATGACACAACACGCTGTTACTATTCTGTTTTTACTGACTGACAAGTACGTGTCAGATTTTTAAAAGTGCTATCAAAAATTCTTAGTGTAGTATGAGGTTGTTAAAAGAACCCTGTGCTTGTGTACATGTCTTTGTCTCTTTCCCCTTCTCCCAGCCAACTGCACAGTCGTGTGAACGTGGAGTTTAACTGCAATAGTCTATCTGGATGCTGTCGAGTAGAGAAATTCTGTGTGGGAAAGTGGAATATTCCAGGATGTGGCCCTGCATTTTGGAGCTGTTATTTTCTTGCTATTTTTAAGGTGTGGGTACAGAAACATAAGTTTACGCATAGGTTTTCAGTCATATTCCCATCCCCAAGCCAAGAATGTGTCAAGAAAATAGTACCTCATCAGGAAGCTTCTAACTTGCATAGAACATTTCCCGTTAGTTGCTGTTATAAGTGCTCCGAGATGTTACCCTGCATGAAGGGCACTATATCAATGCAAGTTGTTGTTATTGATCACTCAAGTATTGATTCACGTGGGTTTGATCATTGTAGGGCTTTTACCTGAAATATTGTACTACAAAATAGTTTTAAATAAAAACTCACAAAGATTGAAGTCCAGTGTTTCATTGCATAGTCTTAAGAGACTTTAAGGGAGAAACCTTGGGCAAGTTTCCTTACTCCACACACCTAATAATAATCCCTCCAAAAAAAAACAATAATAAATTGGTCATTTTCAATCTACGACTGTTTGTGGGACATTGCTGTGCGCAATTGGCTGCCGCGTTCGCCCACAAATATACAGTCAATTCACTTTACAGTATATTCTGTGAAGCGCTTTGGGACGTCTAGAAGACGTGAAAAGCGCTATATCAAATGCAAGGATTATTATTATTATTACTTGCATCTAGGAGCGGTATGGTACATTGATTGCCTTTAGTTTACCCTGTTAATATCAATTAACATTCAGAGAACTTGTGACATCTAAAATTATTTCTTCTTACTGTGAGGTCAAATGGCTTACCAATACATTTAAATATTTAATTGCAACCTAATGTGTTCTCCCCACCCCCGCATGTAAACTGATTGTTATCCTGTGGTTTCAGTTTAATTATTCAAGAGGAACATAAAGTATTGTATACAAAATACAGCACTGAGCAGCATCCGATCCCTTATTACTGAATTGAGGACTGTTTAGGTAGCAGAGTGTAATCGTGCTCCAATTACAAGTGTATTGTACTATGGTTATGATGCAGGTTAATGCCTGCAGTTTTCTTAGATGACACATTTCAGGATTTGAGAGAGATGCTGAGCAGAAGTTTGGGCACTTTCACTTGAGTGGAAAAGAATATGGACCTGAATTATTGTTAAATAGCTCCTAGTAGCTAGTTGGATATTATTATAATAATTCTTGCATTTTGATATAGTGTCTATAAGATGGAGAAGCATCTCACAAAATATCTGTAAAGTGTAGCCAAATGTGGTGGCCAATTTGCACACAGCAATGTCCCACAAATAGTCATGAAGAGAACAACCAATTCAACGAAAAGATTGGGAGAAAATCCCTTTTTTATGAATAATGCAATGAGATCTTTAACATTCAGCTGTTCAGGCAGATAGGAGGTCAAGTTAATGTTTCCTCTAAATGACAGTGCATTAGACAATACATCACTGCCCAGCATGGCACTGGAAAGACAGTTTGATCTTATGAACTCAAGCCCACAACCTTTTGATAACGGAGACAAGACCATTACGAACCGAATTAGGCTAACACCTGTATTGAGTGGTAGCATTGGGAACAGAGCAAACTGTTTGGCTATTTAACTGCCGTACAGTTTGTATATATGTTTGTCAAGATAAATCTGAGGTACTGATTAGGTAATGGGTTTGGTTTATAGGGTAAATGTGCATAACAGGCTGATTAGACTTTCAGGATTTAGAAAAAGGAACAATGGTTCCATATTTTGTCTTGAATTAATAATCACCAAAACTATCTGGAGTGAGGGACATTGCTAGAGGTGCTGCTTTTAATCCAGATTTACATGCGCTCAGTTACTACTTTTAGCCTGGACTGTGCCATTGACCTTTTCTCTGACTGAACAAGGCATTGCCCTAAAAAATATTGGTGTCCTTAACCTGTCAAGGGATAGTTGAAGGTCACGCTCAAAATATGTAAAGAGTGCAAAACCATCACTGAACACAAGTTTGGAAGGGACATCGTCCTTCTGAGTGAATTCACTTACAAAAGCCATGTTCGAGATTGCTTTGAACTCTGATACGCACCTTCCCAGTAAAGCATCAAAAGAGTTAAAGTTAGCTGATTACCAAGGAACACTGCTGTAATCTGATGTCCTTCAGGAGCTGGGGACAAAAATAGTACAGGGAAAGATCAGTGTTAGTTAAACTGCTGATAGTGACCTGAGTTCACTTTCAATATTACTGAAAGTATTATTGAAATACTGGAAGTCCTGCTTTCCTTTCTATTAAAACAACAACAATAACTTTCTATTAATGCTATAATGTAGAATGGCTGCTCTTTATTATACTAACACTTTCAATTTGTGAACAGAGTTAAGGAATTTCCCTATATTGTAGACACAACATGGCTTGTTTCTGCTGCTGTACAAGTGATCGCACAATTTGAGCAGTTTAACAAAAGGTCACAGCCTGCTGAAGGGAATGCTGCATTACAAGTAATTTGATATAATTGAGAACTTGGGTTCAAAGAGCATGTTTTGTGTGCTGTGGTGGTTTGTCTTGTTGTTATGAACCTTAGGAATATCCTGCAATTTTTTTATGTGCTATTTCCAGTCAGTGAAGTTGGTGAGATTCAGGGAGGATTTTTTTCTTGAATTGTGCAATTTTCCGTGCTCCTTAGTAATACTGTACTTGCAAAACTCTTCAAGCAAAATTTTGCAACTTGCAAGTAAAATGGGACCATTTAATCATCTTGATTTTCGTGTTTCTGAATGTTGTGGGAGATTGAATCATTTGGTTAGATGTTTTCTCTCCTTGAAACTTTACACTGCTCTTTTTTCTTTTCTTTTTTTCTCTCTTTCTGTGCATGAAAACAATATAATCCAGTGTTGGAAGTCTGGTACTGCTTGGCTACCTACACTGTCTTACTGGACTGCTGCCATCTGCACAGCCTTTTGAAAGTAGGAATTGAATCTGCGTTAGCAGGTTGCTGTGAACAAAAAATATTCTATGATCTGTTGTGCAAGAGTACAATCATAGGTGTATTTATGCTCCTGCTATTTACACTAAACAATCAAATAATCCTTGCGTTTGATATGGGGCCTTTCATGCCGGGAGGACGTCTCTAA